CTGGGACTTTAAACATTGTCACCTAAGGCTGCTGAGAGCAGGCCTAGAGAATTAACTCTAGAGAGAGTTAAAATACCGGTGGCTATCTATGGTAGTGCTCCCACTGTTGATACCAACTGTGGAGCTGCACCAGGGATGGTAACAGTGGGAAAAATAAAGAGAAAAAGGCTAGTGTAGACAAGGATGCTGTGATTCGTTAACAAGTTCCCTGCAGACCACTTACAAACAAAAATAGGGCTTTTATTCACTCTCAGAGCCAACAGTTTATGTACATATAAGTCACTTGGATTTTATGATCGGTTTAGTTCAGATCTAGCCATCTGTCCCAAGAGGTTTATAAGTAAACCATTTAATATTTATGGCCACCTATTATGTATTGTACAGAAATCTGGTATCGTATTGCTTGATCGTCCAAAACCTCTAATTCCTCTTTTTGGAAAAACACTATCTGCCCATGTGATGAAATAGCCTGCCAATCCTCGCCTTCCCTTTCAAACAAGTATAAGAAAGAGAAAACCATGGAACTACCAGACATGTACTATCTTTACTGTCTGTTAACAAGTCTTAGGGCCTCCAGTCCTCTTCCCTATATTTATAGGATGACTTCTGATTGCAAACTCCTAAATCAGGGACCATATCTTTTTGCATGGCTGTACCGGGGTAAATAATATCTAATGGCATTGTAATGCTCTAATTTGCTTATAATAGCAAAGGAACCTGAGGTATTCATAGCAAAAAATTGTATTTTACACTCTCTCTTTGTAAACAATCTACGAGCACTTCACCATTTTCTCAGATGTTTGTTTTTTGAAGTTATTGCTGAAAACATTCAGCAAATTTTCCTTGTTCTATAGATTACACATGAGACTTTATTGTGGCGATTCAGTATGGTAAATCTGAGTTGAGTTGGTTGGGTTTTGATTAGTTATATAGGTCATATGGTATTACTGACATACCCTGATTGGAGGACAGTAGCTTCTAGAATCAGGTTTCCAGGGTAGATAAACAAAATGTTCATGTTCAAAATTTGCTTTCTGTGAATATTGTGTAATATTTGCTGTTTTTTCAAACAGTTCTGCCAGAATGCTTGTGGAAAGTAAACACGCACAAAGTGAATTCATCATTTTATCTGAGCAAATATTTGAAGGATATTTTTGAAGTATTTGCTCAGCTCTAAGTCTCCTAACATCGAGGCATTTTTGTAGTGCCCAGCTAAGATAGGTGCCTTTTACAGAGCTAGTCCAGTACATGTGCATACGTTATCAATCAAAGATAAAATCAGAACCTGGGAGCTGAACTGAAGGTTGCTGGTTGCTGATGCACTAAAAAGTCCTATTCCAGGACCCAGTTACTCATCTCCAGAATTGCAATCTGACATGCCAAATGAAAATGGAGTCTGATGGGACAGCTGTTCCTCCATTACCTGTAGGGCGCCACAGACCACCCTGTTAATTATACTGCTGGGAAAAGGAGGATTATTTTCATCTTCAGGAATGTTGCATAAATATGAATTAATGCTGAAAATGGAATCCTGAAAATAGTTCACAAAGGCTTAAAAACAAAGTAATATTGAAGCATCTGCTTGTAAGCTTCACCGCACTCCATTTATCACCCCATTTATAAAGCACTTTTCTTAAAAACTATAATTCATCCTTTTGGCCTATAAGCATTGAAAAGCTCCTAATCAATGGCCTTTCTCACGCTCCTCTTTCATCACAGAAACCCCCTTTAAAAATATCTGCTAATTGATTTTAAGCCTCTTTGTGGCAAAGCCTAAGAACTGGATTTACCAAGTTACTAGGGGGATCCATCTGGTGCAAAAAGACCATTTCCTCGCCAAAGTATTTCACCTTAACAGAAAGAGAGAAAGGGTTGTAGGCCCAGCAATTTCAGTTTAACTAGCTGTTGGCATTTCATGTTCACATTTTGAGGAATAGTGAGGAGGGTCTTCCACAGGAAATTAAAGAGGGGTCTCTGCCCTATTCTCCTTCACTGTATATGAGATCTGTGCTGTGCATAACGGTTTCTTTCCATGTAATTGTTTTTAAATATTGGGAGAAAATTTGGTGACCGTGAGGGGATCACAGAAGTGGAATGAGTAAATGATAGTGAAGGCAGGTGCACTGTCTCTGTCAAGACAGTTAAGTTCAGATCTGCAATATGTCCCTTTCCTGAGCAGAGGGGTGGACAGAGGTTTCCAAATTGTATAGTGTTTTTGTGATACCACTAGTTCAAGGCTCATTTTTCACTTGAGATTCGTCCAGCTTTGAACCTGAAATGTAAAGGCCATAGGTTACTTTCTTTTTCTACAATTTAGTCGTCCCCTTCTTCACAAACAAATAAGCTAATATAATGCTTTTTAAAAAGGGGAACAAAATGGCACAGAAAATATGGTATATAAAACCAATGGTGTATGCCCTTGGCTGGACTCCTGTCTCAAACTTTGATCTCCTTAGAAAGAGTATTGGCTGAGCCTGAAAAGGTCCAGACAAAGGCAATGAAGTTATGACATACCGTAGAGTGCACATGAGAAAAGTTTGCAGAAATTAGGACTATTTAGCTTGGAAAAGAGAAGAATTAGAGGGGTCTTGACTGAGATTTTCAAAATTATGATGTGGCAATTACAATGAAGACTGATCTGTTCCCTTTTTCACTCTGAATTAGTGATAGAATTAGAATTAGTGGTAATTCCATGAAATTAATGGCAGTACATTTGGAAGATCTAAATGGAGATATACAGACTGTAGTGAGTCTGTGGGAATTGCTGATGTAGGGGGTCATCAGCTCAAAGGTTAACACAGTAAGATATAAGTAAGAAGCAGAATGCTGGACTTGGTGAACAAATGCTCTTACCTGGTCTGGTAAAATGTCTATGTTCCTATTGACCTCATTGGAAGTTTCATGTGCCTATGGAAGATAGTTAGTGAACTTGCATCTCCAAAGGTGAATGGCTAGTAAATATAAGAAACCTTTTAACACCTTCAGTTGACATTGCACTCTGTTGACTGGGTGAGAATCTACAGCTGTGGACCCTGTCATCGGCACTGACTATGAGACATCTAGCCAGTAGCTGCTCCGTGCTATATTATGGCCCCTCTCTATAATGAACTGATGGCAGACCTTCATTTCTAATAGTGTAGCATGGAAAAAATTGCCTGGGTATAAAATGCTATTGTCTGACCTCTCAATATAGTAAGTAAAGTTCAAATTAAATCAGGCCAAATTGCCGTTACATCTCTGATCTTAAAACAAATGCTGTTTTGGCTGGTTACTTGTTCTCCATCTGCTAAGACTGTAATATCTTCAGGACAGAGATCACCTTTTTGTTCTGTGTTTGTACCATGAGTAGCACCATGGGATGCTGAATAGTTACTCAAGCTAATAGGTGTTACCACAATACAAATAATAAATAATAACATGATGCCATCCTTTCTGCAGTACCATTAAAATTCATTGTCTATATTAACACTTAAGACACTGAACTATTGGTAACTTTTAAAACGATTTTGGTTTCCATTTTATTTATTTCATAATAGCCTCTTCAAAGTTTACAACAGTTGCTTTTCCTCCTTCATGTAGGCACACTCTGGTTTGTTAAGTAGGGTTGTATAACATCCTGGTGAGACCCTTTTCATGCTTCTGCCCAGGACTTTGGAACAACAAAACTAGATATCTTGACAAAAGAATCTCTCCCAGATTATTTACAAGATGCAGTGTATGCTAGGACAGGACTTTGAGAGGAGATAGCTCTAGTTGGAGATGGGCTCGAACTGCAAAGTTTGGATCCAGATCCAAAGTTACTTAAAGTTTGGGGGTGTTTTTGTCCTAGTTCCCCAGGAGTTCCTTTAAGTTAAGGCACTGAGATGTAGTGAGGCATATAACTATGAACTTTATTGAGAGTGTCTACCCTGCATGGCTATTGACCCAGCATGGACTCAATTCCCAAAATCCTGGCCAGCATGTCCATTGTACATTGGACTCATTGTACAATCTGGGCTAGACTCTCTGAGGACACCCTCCCTGTTGGTTGTTCTGAAGTCCTACAATATCTTTAGTACTCACGCAATAGACCAAAGCGGAACATCTTTTCAGTCACATGGGCCAGGTGGGAGAAAGGTATTATGTTAACATAGTAGTTGGTGGAGCACTCACTGGGAAGGTTGCTACTTCTTCTAAGTTATCTACTTTATCCAAATCAAAGTGATCCATTATCTAAATTATCCACACCTTTGGGTTTGCAAAACTGGATTGGAAATCTCACCCAAACGGGGGTTTTGTGAGAGTTCTGGGGCTTCTGTTTGTGGCTGGACAGGAAATAACCCAGGAACAGGCTTCCTCCTGCTGTTTTGGCCCCTTGGCTTTCAGACCGGACTGAATCTAGGAAAAACACGTGTGTTCTCACAACGTTCCTGGTGATTACTATGCTCCACACTATGGCTACTAGAACTTCAAAGTGACAGAGGGGATAAATTCAGATCATCCTGCTCCAAAAGCATAGGCACTTACCTCTTAAGCTAAAATAGAATCGCCATTAGCAATACAGGGCCTATAACACATAGCTGAGCGACTCTGTTTCTATACAGAAAGAGGGCAGTGGAATACATACATACTAGCCAATTATAGTGTGAATTAAATGAAAAATAATGCAAGAAAAGCTATGCAAAATGATGGGGGAAAGTTATGCAAATTTTGTTTTGAAAGTCAGAAAAGATTTAGTTTGATTATGGGGTGCAAATGCTCATAAAAAGTGTCTATTACATTATCTCAATCTGTTCATCCATCCCAATTCAAAATACAGTAATATGTGATAGAGAGTTTGCCAAAGGGATAAAATTGGGTGGAAAGAAATATTCATTGTAAATGAGTGTTGCACATAATGCAGAATAATGAAAATAAACCTGAAATATCTCTGATACTTTTTACCCAAAGGTAGAAAAGTTCCATCAGGTAAACTGTTTATTTGTGTGTTATTTAAATTCTTTATTTTCTCTGTCTTTCAGCAAAGAATAAATCATCCAATAAATTCTTGCCAGAAAACCGCCTTTGAAGGAGTCAAGAGCAGGTAGGGATTTTGATTTGGATTACATCAAAGCAAGAGGTTTACTTGTTACTTGACATGGGCCCAGTGAAGGTCTGTGTGCTTGCAAACTGCATAATCTCGCAACCCATCATGAAGGGACAGGCAAGGCTGGGATGTTTACTGTACTGGTGGATGAAACAATCGTTGGAGACCTGAATGGAATCCCAGTAAGAAACAAAAAAGGGATAGTCACTTTTTTTCCTACCACATATTCTTAGTGAAGACATTTGGCAGCAAAATATGCTCTATTAAAAGTGTATATGCAATACAAATATAATATTGCTATTGAGAACAACATAGAAATATTTGTTTCTCTGTGTGTTGTCTTACTTTGTGTTATTGTACTCTGAACCATTTGACTTGCATTCCTAGATGATTAGAAGTTGAGGGTTATGCCATGTATCATTCAAAGGATTGTTTTTAAAGATAGTTTTTTAAAAATCCAATTTGCGAAAATTGTTTGAAAAGTTTTGTGATATTTTTATGCTTTTCAGCCAACTCAGAGTGGTCAACATTGTTTGAAAATTTGAAATGTTTGATGAAAAAAAATGAAATATTGTTGGAAAATATTTTCTGCATTTTTCAGACCGCTCTAGTTATTCTTCCTTAGGTGTGCAGTATGATCTCTCCGCTTACCTACACCTCCGTATCATGAGGCATCAATGATTTCCATGTGGTCCTGTATTTTTATGGTTTGCTGGGATTTTCTTTTAATTTACATGAATAAACTCAAGCTATTTCATTTATTCCTAAAGCAATGGTAGCTTACACTGAACATGGTGGTGAACTCCAGAGATCGTACATGATGGTTGCTCAGATTTCAAAGCCAGCTCAAACATTAACTCAGACAGTTGACTTCTCCCATGCAGAACCATACACTTTGTCTATGGCTCGGCATGTGGGGGACAGAACTGGAGACATGTAATGGGGTCCCTTTTTCTCCAGCTTCTTGTATTGTATTATTTTGAAGGTGTAGTGTTGAGTATGGATTCTTGGTGTCTCTTGCCTTCAATAGGTGGCTGGTTTTTAAAATAGGTTTGTTGTATTTTCACATCTTTCCTTTTCTGAAACAGTGATGATTTTTTATCTTTGTCATTAATTGAGGGCCTGATTCAGCAAAGCACTTAAGCATGGGCTTAAGTTTCACTTATTTCAATGGAGCTTAAGCACATGCTTTAAATGAAGTAACAAGACATCTGGAACAGCAGCAGTCTCCAAAATTAGGGCTCTTAAAAGAATCACAGCAAAAGGTACTTGTGTGTGTGTGTGTGTGTGTCGGTGTCCGTGTCCGTGTCCGTCCGGACACTCATTAGAGCAAACTAACCTAGGAAATGCTTTCATCTCACTGGCTGTGCCTTGTCTATTAGGGAAAATCCACACTTTGGAAAGGCTTATTTCATACTGTAGATGAAGTACAATGAAAGCAAGAGAGAACACTTTGAAATAATAGAGACAAACTCTATCTCAGCTACACTAGTGTAGGTAAGGAGTAACTCTGCTGAAGTCACTGGAGTTATTCCTGATTTACCTCGCTACTCATGAGATCAAATCTGGCCCCAAATTAGTGAGAAACTTAGGTCCTGCTCCAGCTTCCATTTAAGTCAACAGAAAGAGTCTCTTTGACTTCAGCAGGGAATAGATTGGGTACACAGAGAATGGGGACCATATAGACAAAAGGTGAACCAGTATTGTCTAGTGGTTAGAGTGGTGGAGCAGTGGCCTGGATCTCTTCCTTACCTTGCCATTGGCTCTACTGGATGACCTTGGAAAAATCTCTTGATGCCTCACTTTCCCCATCTGTAAGTGGAGATGGACCTGAGCCATGGTGTTTAGATCCAAATATGAATGACAGGAGTGTGCAGTGCGGGGAGGAGGAGTGCTCAAATCCAAACGATGACTGTTTCAGTACACCTTTGACAGGCTTGCTCAGGTGGATCATGGAGACAAATTAGAGCCACAGAACTCAGATCTGAACCTTCCCAATGTTCGCCTGGCCCAGATCATCTGTTCCCCTTTGGGCCCTATTCTACTGTAAACTGGTGATAATAAACGCCCACCTCCCTTCCAGGGGCACTGTGGTTTGTAAACTGTTGGGATGAGATCATTCGACAAAAGGCAGTAAATGCAATGCATTATTATTATATCCTACTTGCAATCTGTGACTGACTCCAGCTGATGATACAGAACCCTTTTGGACAGATTTATTTTTGAAGAAAGGGGGCTATGCAGCGTATACTGTGTTATAGCCAGTACATGATCTTTAACATGTGGAAAGAAAGAGAAATCCGCTCCTACTCACAACCAGTAATAATAATAATTCATGTAGTAATTATTCTAACAGATGGAAAACAGGATTGGAAGCAGCACAGAGAGGTGTACAGTTGTTTACTTTTAAAATACTGTGTCTGTGCCAGGCGCCGTGTAATTCCCTCAGTTTGGTCCTCCATCAGGGCTGCAGTCCCAGGCTGATGGATGGGCATAGTTGCTGCAAAATATTCTATAACGTTAGATTGCCTGAAGGTGCTCGGTAAACAACAGAGAAGGGGATTGAAGGGATCGGGAGGTCTAATTACTCAGCTGGCAGGGTTGTGGGTCCCGTATAATGGTGCAGCTAGTGGTGATGGAGAGAGGGAGGGGGGAAATGGGGAGAGCGGGGGGCAATGGCAGGAGTTACAACAGCATTAGAATAAATAATATAGTAGCAGGGATGAACTGCTGAACCAAGAGGGCACAGAGGAAACTTGTCTCCTCCCTGCCTGGAAGGAGGTCACAGAGCAGGCCACTAAGCAGGGAATGGGCAAGGGGGAGGGGGCAGGAGTCTCTCTGACTCCCCGGATCAGTGGAATGCCGTGCGGCATATGTAGATCACAGCAACACAGCGGTTAGGACTATGATTATGCAGCACTCCCTCTAGGTATGGGTGCGCACAAAGACCCTTCTTCGCTTTCATGTCCAAGGGGAGAAACGGGGACCAATGACAGGTATTGGAGGAACCCTACTCCCTACCCCCACCACTGCCTGTAAACATCAGTGCAGCTAGCATTGTTCTTTTCTCATCCAATGCCAGAGAGCAATCCCTGCATTGAAGGCTCTGTCTGGTTTTAATAACCATAAATCAGTTCTTTCAGGTACTTACGCACTCACTCACTGTTCTAGGAAGAAATTCGCTCAGTTAAAAAACAAGTCCCTGAGCTCTGATGCCGGAAAGAGACCTAAAACAGAAGGACAATGCCAAGATGGCTTTCACTGCCCTGCCATGGCTCAGAGCGCCACATACGACAGACCAGGGATTTGGGCTTACGGGAGCTTTGCTGCAGTGCTGGGTAAGCAGCACGGAATGGAATAAATAACTCCAGCACAGTGCCTTCCCTGAAAACAGCTCTACAAAGAGAAAAGGAGAGGGGTGGAGGAGCAAATCACTTATGCAGAGAATTCTTAAAAAGGGGAGAGAAATTAATCAGAGTCATTAAAGGCTTCAGACAGCTGAGCAGTAATTAACTATTTCAGCCACAGCCAGCTTTAGTCTAGAGCATTACGTTAGAATCATTCTCATAAAGGTGTTGCCCCTTTCGTGCCAATGTGGGAAACATCTCCTCCCACACTCCACCACCCCCCTAAAACAAGGGGAGGGGAGGGCTCAAGTCCCTATATGCTTTTTTTCAATTGGAAACTTCATATCAAACCTGTCTCTGCTCTGTTTTGCATCCCCACCCCCTCCATTCAGACAGCTCCAATGGCACATGCTGACTGCAATGGGGTGGTGACATTGCACCAGCTGTCCATAGCTCAGAGAGCTGCAGGATCTTCTGAAAAGGAGCCCAGGCTCTGCAGTAGCCGGTAGCACTTCCAAAGTCCCAGAACCCGGTATGGTTGGCTCTGATGTCCGACTCCTGACACTGTTCTGTACTTAGTGTTTGTCTGAGAGGCTGTGTCCACTTGCAGGGGAGTCTTGAGACAGCATAGATAAAATGTGTTTTGGGGAAGTGCTATTCTTTTTTGCAGAAGCTGTAGCTAATAGAGAGAGGCTTGTGCTTACCGCAATGGGAGAAAGGAGAGCTAGATCCGATTTTCCTCTCAGACAAAGATTTGTTCTTTGACCTCGGGGAAAGTCCCAAGATCCAACATTTTCAAAAGTGGCCTCTAATTTGGGGTTCCTCCCTCAGCTTTGGGGTGCTCAATTTGAGATTCCCAGGGCCTGATTTTCAGAGATGTTGAGCATCTTCAACTCTAAGTGCAGTCAAGCTCTGAGAATCAGGCTCTAAGTATCCCAAATTGGGCATGCAAAGAATACAAAAGGAGGTACCCACCATTAAAGGCCATTTCTGAACATTACGTCCCTAATCAATCTGTGCTTCTGTTTCCCTAGCTATAAAATGAGGATAACGATACTTATCTCCCTCCTGGGAGTCTTGTGAGGCTAAACTTGTTAACATTTGTGCAGCTCTTTGAAGCCTTCACCTGGACAATGCTGCCATATGTAAGGGAAAAGTATCCAAATTACAGAATGTACAGTGCTGGGCACTGAAGAGACTGTTCCTCCTATAATGGACTAGAATGTGCTGAATGATGAACAGTTGCCTAATTGGGTACTAATGCTTTAAATAAGGTTACAGCTACAGCTCAATAAATAATTTATAGTGAATAAACTGTTGGGCTGATTCAGCCTTTTTTCCTTGTTGGTGAATTGTCTGTGAACAGCTTGCAGTTTTCTCAGATTTATTCATTATTTAGAATTATTACCCAAATAATTTCTACCAATTACCTTTGGTCTTCAGCTTGTTTGCAAGCCGTTTGTTGTGAGTGTTTGAGATTCAAAATTCAAGCTGCATTGGTTAGGTTTTGGTCGCACAAATGGGTCACCTGATGTTGTTTCTGATCCTTGATTGGATGAGTCTAGCTCATAGAGTGTGGGGCAAACACTGTGTTTAATGAATTCAAAATAGCTTGGGGCAGATATTCTCAGATAGTCACATACAATTCGC